AGAGGGGAGATGGGGGTGGGGCTGCTGGAGAGGAGAGTTAGTGAGGGGGAACTGCTGGGGAGGGCGGCGGGAGCTGGGGCGGAGGTGGGTGTGCGGGGGCGGGAACCTGGAGCTTAGGAGGGTTTCCGGAGGCTCAGTGACAGGTGCTGTGGGTCATGGTGGGGGTTCACCTTTCCTTGCCCTCTGCCAGCTCACCCCATCTCCAGATGCCTTTGCCCAGGCCTGTCCCCTCCCCCCAGCAAGCTCAAGGGGGCACAGTGGGAAACACAACCCTGTTCAACAGAGCAAAGCGATAGGCTTCTCCTGTTTTTCTTTGCATAAAAGATCCGCTGAGCCTGGAAATCGTAGACTCCAGAGAGGGTGGTCTGATCTCAGAGGAGCCAGAAGAGAGCGGGGGCGGGAACCTGGAGCTTAGGAGGGTTTCCGGAGGCTCAGTGACAGGTGCTGTGGGTCATGGTGGGGGTTCACCTTTCCTTGCCCTCTGCCAGCTCACCCCATCTCCAGATGCCTTTGCCCAGGCCTGTCCCCTCCCCCCAGCAAGCTCAAGGGGGCACAGTGGGAAACACAACCCTGTTCAACAGAGCAAAGCGATAGGCTTCTCCTGTTTTTCTTTGCATAAAAGATCCGCTGAGCCTGGAAATCGTAGACTCCAGAGAGGGTGGTCTGATCTCCTCAGAGGAGCCCCAGAAGCCAGAGCGCAGGGGGAACCCAAAACATTCATCCATCAACACCCCCCCCAAAAAACACCCCAAGGTTGATCCTGTCTTCCTCACCTCAATTACTACCCTCCCCTCCCCTCCCTCCACAAAAGAAGTTTCTCAGGGTGGGAGGCTGCAAGGTAGAATTTCCAAGAAAGGCATTTCAGGACTCCTTTTCCAACCACCCTGCCCCGCCTCCTCCGGAATAATAGCTGAGTGCAAGTTACTCCACAGATCAGCTGCTCCACACGTAAATTACAAAGTTCATGCTTATTTAAGGAGCCATCTCCTAAATGAGCCATCTTCTCTGCTCTTCCTTCATTGTCCTCTTGCAACACACTGTCACTATTAAGGACGGTAGGGCTTGGGGAGATGCTGGCCCACCTAGCTCTAACTTTGGGGGAGGGGAGCTCGTCCTGAAACAATGGGAAAAATGCAGCAGGGGCTGCCTGGCAGCCTCTGGATTTAAAGCCCCTTTCAGCTTCAAACTGGTTTGAATGCCTAGAAATTACTTAACGTTTGCTCGGGGCAACAGGCCTCCTAGCCTTCTATTCTGAGAGAGGTATGTAGGGATAAGATGCCTCCCAGATCGGGTACTCTTCATTCCCTTCCTACCTTGAAATGGATTTTCCACTTCCTAAAAGAATTTATCTCACTAACAGGAGGTGACCACAAGTTCTTAGTTTTGTGGTTTGCCTGAGCGACAGCAAACCCATGTTGTTCTAGTCCCAGTTCTATTCTTGCCTGACTGGTAAGTTGAGGCGTGGTGGTCAGTCATACCACACTATGCCACTATTTCCCTTTTTGTAAAGTGGGAATATTGTAGCTGTGCTGTCTTCCTCAGAGAAGTATTGTGGGGACAAAAACTCGAGAAGTTCTTAGTATGTACATATGGAACTTTAAATTTTCGGGGGAGTGCCAAATGTTATGGATTAGAGAATTTACATTGTCAGTGGCAAAACAAAATAAACTGAAATACACTAAAATTTGTCATTTTTCTTATTAATCTTACTAATTTTCTGAAATAAAATGTTGGCTAATATCGTTGGCATATGTCAAGGGTAGGGAATCTTTTTTGGAAGGAGCTGAAACAACCTAATAGTAGTAACATCATTTAATCTTGGCATATGTCAAGGGTAGGGAATCTTTTTTGGAAGGACCTGAAACAACCTAATAGTAGTAACATCATTTAACCTTTGAACAGAAATTTTGCTATCTTTTATTTTTTAATATATTTTTATTGACTTCAGAGAGGAGAGAGAGATAGAAACGTCAATGACGAGAGCATCATTGACTGGCTGCCTCCTGCACTCCCCCCACTGGGGATCCAGCTCACAACCTGGGCATGTGCCCTTACACTGAATGGAACCATGACCTCCTGATTCATCAGTAGACAATGAACCCAATCACTGGGCCACACCGACCGGGTGAAATTTTGCTATCTTTTTTCACTGAAAACATTTTACTGAGTTATGTCTTGAAACTTCAGGTAATTCATAAGAATCATAACATAGTAAATGATGGCTCTGTAACAGATGAGCTAAGTGCTTCCAGGGCTGACCCTTACAATGAGGAAATGGGAGGGTCTGTTGCAATTTGGCAAGTCACAGGTTAGTGCAATGTTATTTTTACACATCAGGACATTTAAGCTTGGAGGGATTAAGTGACTTTTCCAAGTCCACACAGTAAATCAGTGAAGGAAGCATTCAGAATTTTGACTCCGGTCCAGTGCTTTCTGAAGCACATCAACATTGTGTGGCTTCCCTAATGCTAAAGAAAGGGCCCTGTGTGGCACCTACCTGCCATTTGCTCTCTAGCCTCAGGAAGGGCAGGGAATCAGATGGAAGCTTTCTACTGAGCATTTGTTAATTAGCATTGAACATTTGATATCAAGTTGCTGTTTTGTCAAGTCTTCCTACAAGAAAAGAAATCCTTTTCTTTTCATCTTCTCCTGGGAAACACTGTCCCCTTTCTTGGGTTTAATGAAACTTGCTTTCTGATGCGTAATTTGATCTGCACTCTTCTTTAAGGTAAATTTAGTCCCTGGTGAAAGGTGACAGACAGATCAACAGCCACCTGTAAGAGGAACCCTCTACTTCTCAGCACTTTGCACTCACTGCCTGTCTTGAAAAGGGGGGCATGATTTTTAGGCAGACACAAATGAAGTCATAAACACTGGCTGGAATAAACTAAGCTGGTAATGGTGTAGTAGATAGCAGATAAGGTGAGGCAAGCTATTCTGGGTCACATGCAAAATCTGGGATGGATGAAGGCCTAAGACCTGGACATGGTTGTTTAAATTTATAAAGAGCTTAAATGATGAGGAAAAGGGAAAACCAGGTGACTCTCTAAACCAGGTGGGCCATCCAATGGCTGCTTTAGGCTAGGGAGAGAATGGCAGGGGAGAACAAAGAGGAAAACAGGTGGGTAATGTGCAGCAAGGTGGTTTGTTGAACATGGTTCTCAAACTTTGCTGCCTATTAGAATTACTGGGAGAGCTCTTAAAAATCCCGATGGTCAGGCCACACCTCAGACCAAGTAATTCAGAATCCTAGAGGGTGGAATCCAGGCATCAGTATGTTTGCAAAGTTCCTCAGGTGATTTTACTGTCCACACAAGGATGAGAACCACAGTACCTATCAGAGTACTGCCCTTCCCATCAACCCTTCTACTTTGCTCCTCATAAATCTTATCTGTGCCCAATCTGGCCAAAATGTGGACATAGGCAAAATGAGCTGCTCACTGCTAAATCTTCCTGACAGGCACCCTCTCTATTCTGCCCACAGCCAGACGTTAGTTCTCATGCATTCTACTTCCGTGAAGAAAACTTGATGATTTAAACCTGACTGAATTTAGCCACTGTATTGCCTTTCCCAATGTGCCTCTTGAACCACATTTCTAATGGTAAGATGAAAGGCTTTGTTCTACAAAGAGTTTGAGAATTTGCCAGCCATCAAAGAAACAAAACACCTGCCTACTTACTATAAACATTGGACCAACACTAATTGGCAGGGTCCATAATTATGAAGTGATTCTGTAACTGCTGCTATAGACAATTTCTAAGGCATAATGTCCCATCTTCTCTTCCTCACTCTTCTCTCCTAAACACACACAGATACTCCTTTGTCACCCACACCTACTAATGCACCCAGGGCCTGTGCAACACGGTGGATAATTATGCAGGCACAATGCTTTGTATATCTGGTGCGAAGTGAGAAAAATATATTTGTTTCCAGAAAAGGAATATCTTGGGTCAAACATAAAAAAGTATTTTAAATGGATATTTTTCTGATATCAAAAGACTCAGAATTCATAGCACTTTGGAGCTGAAAGGGACTTGAGAGATCTGACCCCTTCTTTGAACTCAGTCATTGAGAGTCCCAGCTCAGAATCTAACAGACCTGAGTTAAAGTCTCAGTTCCAGCACTTTGTAATGTTTGTGACCTTGGGAAATGTTCTTAATCTATCTCAGGCTTGGGATTCTCTTCTTTAAGATGGAGGTACAGCCATAAAAAGGAATGAAATTCTGACACATGCTACAAAATGGTTGAGCCTTGAAAACATGTTAAATGAATTAGACCAGACACAAAAGGACAAATATTATATGCTCCCATTATATGAGGTACCTGGAATTGGTAAATTCATAGAGACTGAAAGTAGAATAGTGGTTGCCAGG